AAATAGGTCCAGCGACGGTGGAGAAAAAAACAAAATAAAAAAAAATCGCTCAAACTTCGTTTTTTGACGATTTTCGGATAAATTTTTGTTTTGGTTAAGAATTGAAAGTTAGGGGTTGCACATATGGTTTTAGGCATATATCACTCATCATAGATGTCGATGTACATTTACCCTTAAAACTTAGAAATATCTTTAACCTACAGGTGTCGATATGTGCGACATTACTCTCCGATGGACATGCGTCGTCGTCAGTGGTCTCAACCCAGATAGCACATGACGTCTTAGAGACGTCCATGACAGGCCTAAAATAGGTCTGAACGTCGCAGTCACTAAAAGGTCGTCCTGAAGACGTCTTTCCTTAGACCTGCAAAAGACATCTATTGTTACGTGATCGTGATGACGTCTTCAAGACGTATTATTTCAGATTTTGATCAAATGTTTTTCATATGAATTTTCCAAAATCAGAGAGGCTCAGATATATGTGTCGGAAAGTATTTTCAGTGCCCTGTATAAGACATCTGTATTTATTGCCTCTGAAACGTCTTTAAGAGGCCTTTGAGACGTTCGACTGGACACACAATAATGATGAATTCCCAATAGCACACAGAGACGTCTTAAGGGCGTCTTTAAGACGTCCGCAAATAGGACTTTCCGGGCATCTCGTATGCTGTATGTAGGTGTCTCTGAGAAAAACTACGAAACGTTCAATGTACCAAATACTGTAACTAGTACAAAACATACACTTCATTGAATTACCAAAATGGGTTCTCGAAACAAGACGTCCATGAGACGTTCTTAGGACGTGTTCTATGGATGGTAGTTACAGAGGAAGGTATAAAAAATGTATTTCTTCAAACTACTTATACTTTATTGCGACTATATTAAGTTAAAATGAATGGAATGTTCATGTGATATTGTATGTCATCTGTTGGCGCAAGCGCAAATGCGAACGGATGAAAGACGCAGACGCCAGACGCCAATGGACGCTATTTTATAATTCGTTTGTATGTATATACGCGTTTTGCAATGCATAATTATGTTTTGTGGTTTTACAAGCTTCTCTTTGTTAAAGGGTAGATTTTTGGATCTAAATTAAAAAGGTAAACGCAAATTCACATAAATGTACTGCTGATTTGTGACTTGTGACTGCTGCGGTATGTTACAAGTAATAAGCTTCGTACACTATGTCCCCCTGAAAAAGTATTATATGCGTGCTCAGCGGTTCAATGTTGCTTTATATGAGAAAATACATCATGATACACGATACAGGATCTGATGCAAAAGGGAACTTTATTGCTACTAAAAATGATACTGATAACCCAACAGACCAGCATGAACCTATTCAAAATCAACTAGAGTTCGATACAAGGGATATTCAGACTACCAGAACAATTCATACAAGCATGACTGGTGATATTGTACCTACTAAAATCTAGTGCATCTACCTCGTCATGTGCAGCAGTTCCTAAATCTGGAACTCATACAGCAGTGGAAGACTTGAGTATTCTGAGGACATATTTTGAAACTAATGTTGATGCTGCAAATGTGCCAATTGTAAAATAGTTATTATTTCCGGTGGAACAGCCTGATCGTATTGGTGGATCATGACTGCTATAGCAATGAACAGCTGGATGGGGAGAAAAGGCTAGAGGCCATTTCAGGACACAAATTTGGCAAAGCTTATCATACTTAATTTATGTTTCATACCATACCTCTAAACGAAAAGTTTGAAACAAAGAATTTGCAGGGATGTTTTAATAATTAACATCGCTAGAATTTTCAGTTACTTAGAATTTGGAGCAGAATGTTTTATTTTTTCATCAATCAATCATCATCATCAATTTTTATAGTGTCAAAGTAAATGAGTCTTTACTGAATTGATTTTTCTCCTTCAAACTTAGTGTGGCAAAATTAAACATTTTTGGTGACGTAATTAAAACTGTATCAAAACGTGTCTTGTAAAACAATATAATTTGCCTCTTATTTATAGTAACCAGCAACAAACATGCTTTATCAATATCTGTTATTTTGTATCTACTGTCAGTTGGATTGACATTACGATGTTATATGTTTTTTCATTTGTTCTAAACTCTTATCTCAGAGCTACTGCAACTTATACAGTATACTTGATCAAATATGAACCAAAAATCACTGTTTCATTTTTATGTCCGATTCAAACGAATGTAACTATTATTTTCTCCCTTTTAAACAAGTTTACCACAGGAAGAGCTAAGGTGGGAGTTATGAGAAGCGAAGGAGAAAAATCCATCGAATTGTGGTTAAAAAGAGCTTCTAATAAACGAAATCAGAATGTTATCTCATCTTTATCTTCGACATCATGATATATGAAAAATAAATCGCTTTTCACTGATTTTGTTTTTTATTACATTCTGACTTTGTGAAAGTCTGTGAAGGATTATAGTGAACGCCTGCAAGCCTATAAGATGCTTATGAGAAGTCCCTAAGACGCCTACGAGACGTCCATGTTGTGCCTTGAACGCCTGTTTAAGAACAACAATAGACCAAAACTAGACGTCTTAAAGACGTTATCATTAGTAACAACCGGCATCTAAAAGACGTCTGAAAGACGTTTGTTAGTGTTTTGCGAACGTTTTTAAGGTTTCTCGAAAGTCAAGATCGGACGTCCTAAATACATCTTTGAGACGGCTTTGTGCTATTTGGGAATCGGCAGCCTGCAGCAAATCCTCTCAGTGGGAGAAGGAAGGTCATTTAATTTTTTGATATATATGTTCGTAGTTTACTTTTTTCTCAGAAGATTCTAAACATAATCCTTTACGAACTGATGACAGCGTAGCGTGGGAAATACAGCATCAACTTACTTGACACTTTTCATGGGTATTTTATATATAAAGACCTGTAGGAATGAAACACAAAATGGCAGTCTGTCAAAGTTGAGAGTTTTTGCAGTATGTAATAAAATATGGCTCACTCCATTCAAACAACTGAATCATTTTAACAACGTTCTTTAAATAGAATCATCCATCTTTGAATGCATATTCAGTAGGGAGACCTTTCCAAAAGAAGATGAAATTTATATTCATAACATACCATAGCACAGCATTTCAGTTGTTGAATTATAAGCGAGTGACTGTACAAACGCGCTCAAATTTGATAGCTCAGTCTGCTACTTTGAAAGATAATGATATTTATGTTATAAAGTACTCATAATGAGCTTCACAGTAATCTGAGAACCTCATTCTACAGGGTGGGGCAAAAGTCACGAAGGGATTTGAAAAATTAATAACTTTTTTAAATTTATTTTGTTTTCATTTTTTTTTTCAGGACCGTGTAAAATAAATCCTGGAGATTAATTATGGAGCGTTACAACCTCAATCAACGAACCAAACTTATAGAATTTTATTTTGAATATCACCATTCAATAATTCAAACTCAACGAGCATATCGTCGTCATTTCAATTTGCGGAATTCGCCCTCTGAATCAATGCTTCGACGCTTAGTGGCACGATTTCAGCAACAAGGCAGAGTTATGGATCTCCCACGAAGCGGAAGGCCACGTTCCGCAAGAAATGAAAGGAACATTCAACGCGTTCAGGAGAGTGTTCAGGAGAATCCGGAAACCTCAACCCGAAGACGTTCTGCTGAGCTGCAGATGTCTCAAAGGTCTTTACGCAGAATATTAAGAGGAAATTTACATCTGTTTCCATATAAAGTGCAGCTAGTGCAAGAACTAAAACCAGCAGATTTTCAAGAACGACTAACTTATGCAGTTCGCTTGCAAAGAATGGCTCGAGAAGATAATGAATTTATTCATTCTCTGATCATGAGCGATGAAGCCCATTTTCATTTGAATGGCTTCGTAAATAAGCAGAACTGCAGAATATGGGGTACCGAGAACCCAAGGGTGGTTCATCAAAGGCAATTACATCCGCTTAAATGTACAGTATGGTGCGCAGTTACGTCTCAACGAATTATTGGACCATTCTTCTTCGAAGACCACGATGGGAATGCTGTATCTGTAGATGGCGACCGATATCGTGATATGATTCAAAATTTCTTAAGACCAGCTCTTGCTGACAATCAAACGATGACTTTCCAACAAGATGGAGCCACTGCGCATACTGCTCGAGCCACTATGCACCTTCTAAGGCAGATTTTTGGCGAACGTTTAATTTCGAGAAATTCAGGATTCAATTGGCCCGCCCGCTCGCCGGACTTAACAGCCCCTGATTATTTCCTTTGGGGATATCTGAAAGGAAAAGTGTATATTAATAAACCCACAACCTTGCAGCAACTAAAAGATAATATTCGAGCAGAAGTAAGTGCTTTGGGGCCAGATATTCTGACTCGGGTAATGGAAAATGCTCTTGCAAGAGCTGCACTTTGCGAGGCTGAAAATGGCGGTCATTTGCGTGATGTAATCTTTCACACTTAAATTGTAAACAAACTCCAAACATTGCATTTTAGTTTTGTGTTAGGGAAAAAAATTAAAATTAAAATTTAAAAAAGTTATTAATTTTTCAAATCCCTTCGCGACTTTTGCCCCACCCTGTATTTGAAAAAGGTTACCACTATGTTGCTTAGCTAATATGTAGAAATTTTCCATTGTTACATTTACGCTAACATGAAACGTACAAAAAATGGATGGAAGGGACATCAAAGAAAATCAATCTCTGATCGTTATAAGTGATGTTCAACAGCTGAAAATGTTTTATATTTTTTTTAATCTTTGGCTGTTAAACTACAACGTCCCCAACATCTTGCACTAACACTGTATGAGTTAATTTATAGTAGTTTAGTAAAATCTATTGTTAATTTTTCTACAATTACTCACGTAACAATAGATCCGCATATTACTGTCTCATTAGTTCCAAGTTAACAGCCTGTTTAGATTAATGATTTAAATGACTATATTAATAACTACGTAAATATGTTTTAATAAAAATTTTTGGAGGTCAAATCTGCACATTAACATTAATGCTAAACAACAATCTATTTACACCGAGTTTTTACATTTTCAGGAAGTATGTGGGATAATTATGCTGTATATGTGGAAGACTTAGTGAAAAGCTATGGCAGTAAAGAAATATTGAAGAAGTTGTGCATGAAAGTGGAGAGAGGCATAATGTAAGTTTCCTTTTTATTAGACTCTAATTGTAAAAAATTAGACAAGCCTTAATTAAAACTCAGAATTATTATTATATTATATCATATATACGTTTTGATCTACTCAATCCAATAAACTATAAACCCGTGTGAGATATTTACCAAAAGTGAAGTTATGTTGAGTCAATCAATACATCTCTCACAATAATAAAGTATAGTCAAACAAAGCATACAGGTCTTGTGAGAATAAGCAAATTCTCCTAATAATACAAGCACCTAGGTCTTCAGATAGTCGAGCTATTTAGGTTCCGAAAAAATCTACAACATGGATTAGGTAAAATATAAACATTCGGACGTAGCGTCATGTGCAGGGTAAGTAAGACGAGCTGTTTGTTCATAAGTCGGAATTGGATAGCCTAAAATGTTACATTCCTATAATAGCAATAAGGAACTATTTTGGATGTTACTTTAGGGTGAGTATCTTCAAGATGCTGCAGATGCTTTAGCAATATATTATTCCTGGGTGTTTCTATCCCGCATCTCGTATGTGAAAATAAGGGCATATTCAGGGGAAGGGGCTTTGGGGCTTAATAATAATGCTATTAATAATAATAAACCCCAACATTGAAGCATGAAATATCAGTAGCTAACAAGGCGCTAAAGATAATGTCACAAGAGAAAATGCCCAACTTAACCGATATCGACGCATGTATTTCACAACCAGTATCCCAGCTGGCGAACTAAAAACAAGGCAGAGGACAGATACTTATACAGCGGAGTGCCCGTGGAAAAGACGGATAAAAAATTCTATAGAGTCATATCGAAAGGACTTGTCCATCATTCATGAGTACAAAAAAATAGGTACCTTCCAGAAGGTCAAACATAAATTCAACTCCTTCAGGAGTTTCCCTATAAGGGGAATATGGGCCTACAAGAACTAGAACCACACATTAAGATGAAAATAGCAGCAAAAACACAACGTCTCACCTGGAATACGGAATACTAAAAGGAGTAACCATTACCATCAAAACAAAACTTTCAACAAGGACACCAAAAAATTATACAGACAGCTTAACAGTCAACACAGGAAGGTACTGAATCCACCGCGACAACCTCCAGTTGGAACCTTCTGGCGGGGTATCCTTCAACATAAGCCCGCCTGATGGATTGAACATGCGAGGAATGGCTCTGAACACATTGAGCCCAAAACATGGCAACAGGTTTCGCTGACAGAAGTGCAACAAGCAGTGAATAAAACGCACAACTGGTAGTCCCCGGCACCTGACAAATTACCAAACTTTTGGTTCAAGCAACTAACAGCACTACTCAAAGACCTAACTCGAGCGATAAACGAAATACTGGATAACCGTCGAAGTATTCCAATCTGGCTAACAGGTAGAACAACATATCTTTTACCGAAAGGAGCAGGCACGCAGAACGCCAAGAATTATAAGCCTATTACACTTTTGCTAACGCAGTATAAGCTAATAACATCTGCTTTAGCAGTTCGCATGTACATTCATTTGACTGAAAACAACATACTACCAGAGAAAAGGGTGCCGTAAATCGTTGAGGGGTTGTGAAGAATAGCTACTGATTAGCAAAATGGTTATAACTACAGAGAAAAAACGTATGCGAAATCTTCGATGGGTGGATGTGGACTATCGAAAGGCCTTTGATAGTGTACCACACTCCTGGATTGTTGAGGCGATGAAGATATGTCTTACCGTCAATAACTAAATTCATTGAAAGGTCAATGCAAACATGGAGGACTAAAATGATGTTCCATCGACAAGGGCAAATTGAAAAAGGACAATGGTGACGCGTGACTTCCTAAACTGTTACCAAAAGCAGATGTGAAAAATCTTATTAAAAAAAGTTTATTTTGAACCTCCCAAATTTTTGCTTATTTTAGGTATTTTATTTAAACTATTTTTAAATTAAAGTAAACATTCCTGGACTGAGCGTTTGGGGCACTTGATGTACCTCATCGTCTTATGATATAACTAATCCAAGCCGTCCGAAAAAACAGCCGACGTTTCTAGATGTTCGGAAAACATTAACAATTCCCTGTAATTTCCTCTATTGTCAGAGTCATCCCCTTCAAAATGAACGGTAATTCCTGTTTTGTCAAAAAACATACGGTATCTAGAAGTGTGCTGCCTAAGAGCTTGGTTAAGACAACTTTCGATTCTTGTTTCGCCAAACTGAATTAAATTGGCTACACATCTCACATGTAACGGAGAAAATTCATGTCTCCTCTTTAGAGCCCTAAAACTATATAAATCATTGACTCCGCTGCTGGTCCACCCATTTCTTTCTGTATAAAACAGAAGACATCGCCAACAATACAATCTGTTTTTTGAAAACCACATAAACAAGAGTTTCCATATATCAACTTAATTTAAAATATCAAACTACGTTTTTTATTCCTTTTTAAAATTATCTAAAATAGGTGTTGGTCATCCATTTTCAACGATCTCCTTTTTTTCTTCATAATTATACAAGGAGAATGACTTTTCAAGTAGTTGAACGATTACGCAGCTAGACCCATCTATTTTTAATTGCACGCACACTACAGCCGATGATATTGTTATTCACAACAGGCAACAAAAGATCTGCCTTCTGCTAGATGTCGCAGTACCTGATGACTCAAACGTGCTGCTGAAAGACTCTGAAAAGATCTCCAAATATAAACACCAGATCAGTAGAATGTGGCATGTTAGAACTAAAAATATACCCATAGTAGTGAGCGCCCTAGGAACCATTAAAATGGGTCTAAAGAACTACCTTCAAATGTTACCAGGCTGGCCCAGGGAAACTGAAATTTAAGAGATTGCATTTCGGGCACAGCACATATCCTAAGGAAAACAACACCAAAAAAATAATTAAAATAATTATAGCATTTATTGATTTATTGTCCAACAGTTGCCCATTTACAGGACAATTACATGAACAAAGAAAAACTAATAGCCTACGACAGAGTTTGGAAAGAAAATAATCATTTTAACTACTGATAACTACTATACTAAGAGAATATATAAATATATCGCAATGACAGCTAACTCTATTGAGATCTTTGCATATTATGTACAAACATCTGCAATCGAAGTTGCACATACCTCCTTCATCTTCTGGCCTCCCAAAAAAGCATTACTGATACTGGAAGCTAATGTTCGAGCAATAAATTATAGATAAAAGGAACCGCATTCTATAGAGGCGCGTGGCTTGATTGAGTTGTCTCCAGTGGCGGTGGGCTATTGCTGTTGATGAGGTGCAGGTTTAATTAAATTCTCAATATGGTGTGATTTTCAAAGCAGATTACATCTTTATTTGTAATATATATCCAGGCTTTTCAAAAGCAAAATATGTCCTTCAAATTTCAATATTCAGGCAGAAGCAGGTTGTTTGATTAATTCTGATATGGTAGGTTGGATCTTTGGTATTGAATAGGCAAGCCGTAAGTGCTAGGCTACCTAACGTTTGGAAACTGAACATTCTCTTCTAAAAATGTAAATATGAAAAACGTTTACTTTACGAAATTAGCGCTGGCTATTTATCCTTCTTGCAACTAATTTCATTAGCTCTGAAAAGTATTTAGCCGGTATTCAGTTTAACCACTTTCCGTGTCTATACAAAACTGCATTCTGGTCTACATGCTTCTTACTTTGTAGAGATACTGGTAGGTTCAGCCACTTTAAGCAGAAATCCAAGTATATAGAATTTTTGCTTTTCCAGAAATCCTCCCAATGCTAATACAAACAATTATGATCAATTATGATTCATTAAATTTATTCATATGTGACTTCCTAGTTTAGTCCGATGACGGAAATTTTAAAGGTGCCCATAAAAGTGATTTGTAGGAGCCACTGTTGTGGTTGATTTCGCGATAGTAATCGTTTCCTGCAGATTGAGATACTGCTCAACCAGTGGTGTTATCCAGAAATCTGGGAGGAGGCTCAGGATCCAGGGTCGTGGAGATAGAAAACTGCATAGCAGGGGGGGACTCGCTTAGTCCAGGTAGCACACTTCACAGAAGGTATAACATGCTGTAATATGTAGAAGAAGCCTAATGAGTTGTAGCGCTTCGGCAAGGGAAACTCCGAGGAGCCCCAAATCCCTCCCTTGAATAGGCCGGTGTGCCCATACCAGAATAGGAACAGAGGCGTGGGGTCTGTGGGCCTAGCTCAAAGAGTTCCGCCGTTCTTTCTAATATCATTGGGCTTGCATCCAACCAGCGACGGCGACGAAGTTAATAAGAAATGAATAAGTCCTTCTTGATTAAATGTACAACTTGATGCATTAATTAAAGAAATTATCCTGTTTTTAGTCATAAAATGCTACCAGACATTTGAGAAAAAAATAATATTTTAAATTTCAATAGGCATTAAGAGTAATCCATGTAATTTTTTCTTATGAATGTGGAAGTGGAACAACCAGCGGGTACGCTAATGCAGTCGGCGGCGCGGCACCTGAAAGACAAACGCTGTATTTTGTGTTTTTGGCTCACAAAGAGATTGACAGTAGCTAGAAAAAAGTCGTATTTTTCTATTTGACTCTTACGTTTAGTGGATTTAGCATTTAGAAGGCTGGCTATTATTACCTCCAATCGCATCCTAAGAAAAAAATTCGGCCTGATTTTTTGTTCATTTTCCTGTTGTGCTTTTTGTCACTGCAAGCAAACTGTAGCTAAACTAGCTAAGCTTTTTGAAAAACTTAGTTAGTGAGACTTCGCTTTGAAATGATATTCCCAACTTGGGGGAATAGGACGGAGGTTTTTTTCAGTGTACTCGTATAGTTCAGAAACATTTTCACTGTATACTGGAAATCTATTTTGAATAACAATAAGTCATTTTTTCAGACTGCTACGTGGCCCGTATTAGATTTTTATAAGAATGTCTTTGTTTATTTGTTACTTTTGTTTATGGATTTATACAGAAACTGTTTTTTTTTTGAGAATTCTAGATTGATTTATTACTTGTTTGTATTTTAAAGGATATTATTTTTGTTTTAATTGCATG